ATAAAATATTTAAAAAAAGCATTTGATCAAAAATAACTGTTTGTTATACAGCATATACATCTGTTAAAGGGAGAAGCTCCTTTCCTTCCTTCCTTCCTTCCTTCCTTCCTTCCTTCCCTTCTTCTCCTTCTCCTTCTCCTTCTTCTTCTTCTTCTTCTTCTTTTTCATTTTTAAATATTTTCATGCATGAGTGTTTTGCTTGCATGTATGTAAGTGCACCCCTGTGTGCAATGCCCCTAGAAGCCAGAAGAGGGCATTGGATCCCCTGGAACTGGAGTTTTAGATGGTTGTTCACTATGTGGGTGCTGGAAACCAAACCTGGGTCCTCTGAGAGAGCAGTCAGTGCTCTTAACTACTGAACCATCACTTCAGTCCCCCATGCCTCCTTCCTTTTGAGACGGTAACACAGAGCCCAGGCTGGCCTCCAGCTTACTAAGTAACCAAAGTGACCTTGAACATCTGACCCTCCTACCTCTATGTCCTGAGTACTGGGATTACAGACATGTGACACCATACCTGCCTGCACCCTAGGATAGCTATGAATATGGTCCAACACAAAAATCATAAAATTACTTAAAACATTATGAGATTTTTGTTTTCATAACCTGATTGTGTGGTTCTAAAGCATGAACACTGTGTGGCAATGTCAGAAGGTTGGACACAGTTGACTGCCAGGCTTTGTGCCTATCTGTGCTTACTGAAAATTATCTGCTAATTATTGAAAATGTCATCCTTGAACAAAATACTGACCTACTTAATAGTTGTGCCATATTAATTTATGACAAGTGATCTCAAGGCAGCATCAAGCTAGCTAAATTTCAGAAGTAAGACCACAGTGAGGGCTCGGGGTGGGACTCAGTTGGTAAGAGTACCTGTCTCCCATGCAGGAAGCCTTGGGTTCCAGCCCCATCGCCACTTAAACTGGGTGTGGTGGTACACTCCTGTTATCCTAGCACTCAAGAGACCTAGGCAGAAAAATCAGGAGTTCAAGGTCATCCTCGGCTATATGAGACCCTATCTTGAAAAAAAAAAAAAGTACAGTGAAGACACTGTAGCCTGGATCCCAGCCTTGCCCCAAACCACAAGACCTTGACAAGATGACTTAATTGTTTGGGTTTATTATTCCTTGTTTGAAAATAAGGGGTTGGTGGGGCATGGTGGCGCATACCTTTAATCCCAGTACTTGGGAAGCAGAAGCAGGCAGATCTTTGTGAGTTCAAGGCCAGCCTGGTCTACAGAGTGAGTTCCAGGACAGCTGGGGCTACAAGGAGACCCTGTCTCAAAAAAGACAGAAAAAAAAAGAAAGAAAATAAGGGGTTGAGGGCTGGTAATACAGCTCATTCAAGGTACTTGCTGCCAATCCTGACAACTTTAGTTCAATCTCAGTCCCCAGGAGCCACATGGTCAAAGGAGAAATGAGTCCTGAAAGTTGTCCTCAGTTCCTCCACAGTTCCTCCACATGAGTCCTGAAAGTCGTCCTCAACATCTCCACAGTTGCCCCCAATAAATAAATAAATAAACAAATAAATAAATAATGTAATTTTTTAAAAGAACATTTTTAGGGGCTGGAAAGATGGCTCAGTGGTTAAGAGCACTGACTGCTCTTGCAGAGGACCTGAATTAGATTCCCAGCACCCACATGGTGGCTATGAACCATCCTAACTCCAGTTCCAGGGGAATCCGAAGCCCTCTTCTGACCTCTGTGGCATTGCACGACATGGGTACACTCACATACGTGCAGGCAATACACTCATACACATAAAAAAATAATAATAAAAAAAGAACATTTTTAAAATATAAAGGAAGGGGTTTGAACCACATTGTCACCAAGGTCCTTCCCACCCCAATGCATCTCTCTATTTACACCAACCTGTAGTTTGACTTTTGTTGTCTCTCCATCCAATTCTTCCATTGCATTCCCTCTCCTCCTGAGGACAAGATCCAGGTTCTCCATCTCTGTCTCATTTGCCATTGTCTGGCAAGAGCTGTTATCTTTTTCATCAAGCTCCAACAGTTCTGCAACTAGACAACCTAACAACTCATCTGTCAATTCTTCATTCTTTACTGAGTTCAAGATTTCTTGGGAAATTGAATCTTCATCATTTAACGTCTTTCCAAATGTTTGATAGGTGATGGACTTATTTTCTAAGCTATCCTGATCCAAAGAATGTGTCCAGTGTTGGTCTGTTGGGGAAGATGTACTTTCTGGGTTTTCTTGTAAAGAGAAACTTGAAAAACTCCCAAGTGTTTTAGACTTATCTGAAAGGCTATCAAACTCCAGGTAATCCATTAACACCTGGCTGCCATTTGTCTTATCAAGAGATGCTATATCCTGCTTTTCTGGTGACACATGCTTGCCAAAACTCCTCTCACTGAGCACAGCCCAGCTGTCTTCTGAAGGGACAGACAGGGTCTGGTGATGTAGACCTTCAAGTTCTTTCAGATCTCTGAAGCTTGCAGCAAGAATGTCACTGTTAAATTTTTCTCCTTCATCTGTAGACTCCTCCAAGAAGATTTCCTCAATGATGGATAGATCCGAGACAGGAAGGGATTCTTTCTGTTCAGGGAACTGCTCAGGAGTCTGGGTGAAGTTCATGGGCTGAACTTCATCTGTGGGAGACGGAAAGTCATTTCCTGAAGATTTCATCTGCCAATCTGGTTCTGAGACACCATCTCCACCTTCTCTACCTTTTGTGTGGCTGCTTATAGCCTTGCAACCCTTTTCTTTTGGAATTAAACCTTTGTGTTTTTGCTTAATGCCAACCACAGGCTTTAAAGGTTTACTATGTAGCCTTTTCTGAGGCAGTCTTGCTCTGCTATTGCTGTTTTTATCTCTTTGAGAAGACTGACATTTACTGGTGACACAGTGACCTGATGGAGCTGTGCATATCTCACGGTAATATCTGTGTTCATGCCGTTCTGCCTCTCGCATGTGACTATAAATAGGAGTCCCAAACATCTCATAGATTCCTGGTCCATTAGCAATTGAATTGATTTCTTTGAACATGTCACTATACTTCAGATCCAGGTAATGTAGTCTTGGCTCTGTTGTTTTAACAGGGAGAGGAACACAGGACTTTTTTATTCCTGGGTTTTTACAGATGCAAGGAAATGCTTGCTTTTTAGGTTTCTGGGTCTGATACATAGATTGCTTCTTTTCCATCAAAGGCATTCTCCTTTGAAACTTGGATGACTGGCATGGTCTGGGGTCCACAAGTTCCAAAGCAGGAAAAACCTGAGTTTTTATGCTCGTTTTATGCATATTAGGTTTAATGGAAGCTTGAATGGAAATTGTGAGATTCTGAGGTGCCCTGTTACTTCCCTTGGTTTTTGACTCTAACTTAGTTCTGTGTATATTCATCTGATGCTTGTCCTGTTCTTGGTGAGCAAGTATGTGGAAGCTATTGTTGTGAATGGTACGCTTTCTCTTTGGGAGATTTTGTTTGACTGTGGCTGGGTCCTCCGGTATTCCTTCTCCAGGGAATGTGATGTGAATAAGAGGCACCATCCCATTCATTTCTGGTTTGGTTGCTTCTGCTATTGGTATTTTTATATTTGTCTCTGTGTTTCTATCACCTTCTGGGAGCTCTTCAATGAGATCATCAGAGATTGCATTGCACAAGTTTTTAAGAACAGTAAAGTCTTCTAACATGGCATGTGGTTCCATTGCTTCTGCTTTGTGTAATGAATTGCTTTTGGAATCATTCTCGTTTCCAATCTCTTTCTTCTCCCCTGGAGTTATTTCTGAATGAGGGGCTTCCTGGAGCTTGCTTGGAATGGTATATACAATATCCGAAGCTGGTTCTGACATTCTGGCTGTCGAACCCTCCTTTTTCCTTGATGAAAGATATTGGGAGTTCTCATCTGCTTTTCTTATTTCCATACTGTGGCATTCAATACTCCTTTCCCTCTCTCTGGAAATATTGACTTCCTTAACATTCTCACAGGATGGCTCTTTTTTGATGCAAGAGATATCAATTTTGTCCCATCCTGCTATTTTCTGGGCTCTCCAACTTTCTTCCACTCCCAGATATTGTCTGGGATGATTCACCTTCCTTTGGAAAGAGCACATGTTTCTAGACCAAATGGAGCTGTCAGAAAACCTGAGGGTCTTATCTACCAGTCCTCTCCAAGCAGCTTCCTGATGGTTCTTTAATGAGCTAAATTCATCAGATCGGCTAGCCAGCTCTAAGAGCTTAGGTGCGGAGGATGTAGGGCTTGGGATTTCTCTTTCTCTCTCTCTTGGAAACTTGGGACTTTTTGCCATAGTGAGGATACCAGATCTCATTGGCAAAAGTGATGGTGGTGGCAGAGGAAACTAAAAGAAGAAAGAAAAAGTAATGAATGCAGAAATATATACAATACTATGTTCACTGGTTTAAAGTTGATTTGAAAAAAAAAAAATCTAACATTCTCATAAAGAAAGCCTTTAAAGTAAAAGCTATCCTAAAGGTCAAAACATTTTTTTCAGAGTTAGGGATCAAACTTGTGCATACTGGGCAAGTGCTCTACCACTGACCACATCCAGCTCCACTGATGTCACCAGACCCAACAAGATTACAATTTTATTTTATTTTAATTTTATATGTATGAGTGTTCTCCCTGCATATATGTAAGTGTGCCATGTGCATGCAGTGCCCACAGAGGCTAGAAAAGGGCATTGGATCCCCTAGAACTGGAGTTATAGATGGTTGTTAGCTGCCATATAGGTTCTAGAAATTGAACCCAGGTCCTCTGAAAGAGCAGCCAGTGCTCTTAACTGCTCAACTGTCTCTCCAGCCTCAAGATCACAATTTTAAAAATCAAAATCTGGGACTGGAAATGTAGTTCAGTTGGTAGAGTGTATGCCTAGCGTGCATGGATCCCTGAGTTTGATCCCTAGCACCATATATTCCAGTGCTGGGGAAATAAAGGCAGGAGGATCAGAAATGCAAGGCCATGTTTAGCTACACAGGGAGTCCAAGACCAGTCTGGACTAGAGTTCCTTTCCCTAAATAAAATTTTAAAATATAAAACCCAAATCTGGACTGGCAAGATGGCTCAGTGGGTAAGGGTGCTTGCCACAAAGACTGATGACCTAAGTTTGGTTCTCTGAATCCACAGAGTGGAAGGAGAGAGCTGACTTCCACAAGTTGTCCTCTGGTCTCCACATGCACACTGTCAAACACACACACACATACACACACACACACACACATACACACATGTAAAAAACAGTCTCAGGCTTGGGCTTTAGTTCAGTATACTTAGCACACATGAGGCCTTATATTTGATACTCATCACCAAAAAGGAAAACCATAAAACACAAAGTAACTAAAATATTATTCTCAGTAGTTTTTCAGAACCAAGATAAAACAACGCTTTAAAAAGCTAAAATTGGGGCTGGAGAGATGGCTCAATGGATAAGAGCACTGACTGCTCTTGCCAACATGGTGGCTAACAGCCATATATAACTCCAGTTCCAGGGACTCTAACACCCTCTTCTGATCTCTACGGGCATTGCATGACACAGGTGTACTTACATACATGCAGACAATACACTTATGTACATAAAATAAAATAATAAAATATTTAAAAGCTTAAAATATATGTAAACACTCATGGCTGTACATTTTTAAATACTTTAAATTTATGCATATGTATGTGTCTCTGTATGTCCATGCACAAGTATACAGGTGCCCATGGAGGCCAGAAGAAGGTGTTGGGTTCCCTGGATCTGAAGCTACAGGTGGTTGTGAGCCACCTGATGTGGATGTTGGGAACTGAATCCTGGTCCTCTGGAAGAACAGCAAGTGCTCTTAAATGCTGAGCCATATCTCCAGCACTGGTTATGCATTATAAAATCAAGGTTCTATGATATAAATCTTGCAGTTTTAAAATGAGAAACTTTTTTTTGGTCTTTTTGAGACAAGGTCTCCCTGTAGCCCTGGCTGGCCTGGAACTCGCTATGTAGACCAGGCTGGCCTTTAACTCACAGAAATCCGCCTGCCTCTGCCTCCTGAGTGCTGTGGGATTAAAGGAGTGCACCACCACACTCAGTTCACTTTCTATTTTCTTTTTGTTTCCATACGATTGATTAAAAAAATTTGAAACTCTCTTGAGAACAATGTAAACTTGTGATTGCATATTTTTAAAATTATGGTTCAAGGGTTGAAGAACTCAGAGTTTGTTTGTGGAACAAAAGACTCATTTTTTGGCTGAGTTGTTTGGTTGGGTGTGGCTTTAGTCTTGAAAATTAGCAACCCTAGGACCTGGGGATGCCACTCAGTTGATAGAGGGCTTGCTTGTTGGAGTCCACTGATTTACCTGTACTGATGTTGGAGATGCTACTTTATGTAAATGCTGCTGAAAGCATGCTTGACCATGCACAACAATGCCTCCAGTCAAGAATGACTGTTTCAAAGCCTGTATAGGCCTGTGTGTTGAGGCAGACAAAGGAACGCAGTGCCCCCACCCCAAATTATACAAGGAAATAACACTCTGGCCACTGGCCACAATGCCCTATTATGCTTAGCAAGTTTTCATTTGTAATAAACAAATTCTTTGCTTCAAAAATAATGTACCTAGAAGTCTTTTAGAAGTTTTCTCAAGATTGACTGCACTGAGTAAAAGTCACATTTGCCTATCTATGCAAGTTAAAGCAATAAATACAGAGTGGAATGGCAGACAATCTCCTGGTCCCCTGCTTTTGAGATTCTAATTAAGTGCTGTGCCTCTCCTTCAGGCTGTGCTGTGTCTCTTCTAGGGTTCTCTGAACCCTGACACACTACATGTAGTTCTTACTTAGCATGTACAAAGCTCTGGGTTCCATCTCCAGCACCCTATAAACTGGACACAGTAGTGTATGCATGGTAGTAATGCTAGCACTCCGGAGGTAGAAAAAGAAGGATCATAAAGTTCAAGGTCATCCTCATCTACATAGCAAGTTTGAGGCCAGTCTGAGCTACATGACACTCTGTCTTTATTTTTTGTTGTTGTTTTGTTTTTTTGTTTTTTGTCTTTTTGTCTTTTTGAGGGTCTCCCTGTAGCCCCAGCTGTCCTGGAACTATGTAGACCACGCTGGCCTTGAACTCACAAAGATCCACCAGCCTCTGCCTCCCAAGTGCTGAGATTAAAGTTCTGCGCCACCACACCCTGCTCCACACTCTACCTTTATAAAAGCGGGCGCATACCTTTAGTCCCAGTGCTCAGGAGCAGAGGCAAGCAGATCTCTGAGTTCAAGGCCAGCTTGGTCTATATCGGGAGTTCCAGGCCAGACAGGGCTACACAGACTCTATCTCGAAAAACCAAACCCAAAACAAAGCAAAGCAGCTTTTTAGTCTTCTTTGCCCTCCAAACTGTTTTCAAACTAAGCTAGTTTTTCTGATTTTTATTATTATTAACCTCTAGAGGGCAGTGTAACCCAATGCAAAGCATTTAACTTTGTAGTCATTAAAGAATAAAGTCCTTAAGTAGATGTTTCTTAGTGGGTTTTTTTTTTCCCATGTATGCAAATTCAATATCTAATAATATCAGATTATTTATAAACATGGAACTTGCATTGTAACTAAGAGCTATAACTTTATTTTTTAATATATATGTTTTAAGAATTTATTTATTTTTGTCTTATGTGTATGAGTGTTTTGTCTGTATGTCCATAAGGGCACCATATGTGTGCCTAGTACTTATAGAGGCCAGAAGAGAGCATTGGATACCCTGGAACTGGAGTTAAGGATGGATGTTAGCAACCACATGGGTCCTGGGAACTGAACCTGGATCCTCTGGAAGAGTAACAAAGTGCTCTTAACTACCAAGCCATCTCTCCAGCCCATAAGAGCTATAACTTTTAATTTTCATTTTGTTGCCAGCTAAGTATAAAGAGGAGGGAAGGGGAGCCAGACACTGGAATCTCAGGGTTTAGGTGACACACATGGCCTGGGCACTTTTTTCCATTGCTTGAAAATAGGAACTAGGGGTTAAGGAAATGACTCAGTAAAGTGCTTTCCTTGTAAGCACAAGAAGCCCTGAATTCAATCCACAGAACTCACAATTTTAAAAAAGCGCCAGGCATGGTAGCACAAGTTTATAATCCCAGTGCTGAGGAGACGGAGACAGGCAGATCCCTGGGACTCACTGGCCAGACAACCTCATCTAATTGGGGGTTCCAGGCCAGTGAGAGGCTGTCTCCAAAAATGAGATGGACGGGGCCTGAGGAATAACACCTGAGGTTGACCTCTGCCCACATGTACACGCACCAAGGGTTGGGGGAGGAAGAGAGTGAGAGCAAGAGAGTGGGAGGGGGGAGAGAAAGAGATTCTTGTAGTGCCTAAACATGTCCTTAATAACAGGCACTCATTTATTAAGCCAGTATGTTCTTTTTGACAACACTTCAGTGCTGACACATAACTATTTCTCAATGTCTTCTAGGACACAGAAGAGTAAGAAGAGAGCATAGTAAACCAAAAAAAATTTGTGTCTTCACAAAAGCTTTACTTATAAACTAGAGAAGCAGGAAAAACTCTCCAGCCTGGGGGTAAGAGATGAACAGCAGAAAATTACCTAATTTCTGGATGGATTTAAAAGAGCTGAGTTGAAGAGAGCTAAGAGACCTGTTCACCTCATTACACAGAGTTTGGGAAAGGACCCAGAGAAGAAACTCACTGGGCAAGGCATGCTTTTCCCAGGAATAATTTGCTACACAATAAATTGCATGAACCATCATTCTTTTCCAATATATTATTGCTGAGAATTTAGCTCTCAACAGTTCTATGGAGCTTGTCTCTAACAAATGAAATTCTTGTTTTGGTTTTTTAATTAATTATTAGTATTAATTTGTTTATTATTATTATTTTGGAGTCGTTTGGGGACAGGGTCTCCCTGCATCCCCAGCAGGCCTGGAACTCACCATATATACAAGGCTGAGCTTGATCTCACACAGATCCACCTGTCTCTGCCTCCCTAGTGCTGGGATTTGAGTCGTGCACCACCACGCCTGGACCTATTAATTATTTTTGTTTATGTATATGAGTGTTTTGTCTGCATGTCTGTGTGCCATTTGCATGCAATACCCGTGGAGGCCAGAAGATGGCATCAGATCCCCTGTGTTGGGATAAGTCTGGAGTGCCTGGACCGTAGAACATGGCACCCAGATTGGATACCTCCTAGTGAGGGTGGCAGGAAGCTGGCCCGCTCCATTCTAGGGACACTGTCTCTTACCCAACAACCCCCAAGCAAAACCATTAAGTCTCTAATCCTTTAATCCTAACCAGGTCCCTTGTAGATTATGCGACTGGAGGATAGGACAAAGGCCATGTAGCCTTAGTGGCCCCCTCCCTCCCCCTACCTGCCTGCCTGGCCTACCCAACAACAACCCCCGCCACTTTGCCCACAAAGCTTTCCTATATAAACCTCTGCTTCTGCCATAATAAACAGCTGTCCACTGACACAGCCTCCCGGGTGTTTTCTTCCCGTAGTACTGCCTGAGGCCCCCACCTCTCCCAACTGGTCTTTGTCCTAGTCCTGATCTTCCGCTATGGGGACAGCAGCAGTAGAGTTCGGCCGAGGGGGGCTGGCACCCTGGAACTAGAGTTGTTAGCGGCCATTTGGGTACTTGGAAATGAACCTGGGTCCTCTGGAAGAACAGCCTGTGCTCCTAACTACTGAGCCATTTCTCTGGCCCCAAATTTTGTTTTGTTTTGTTTTTTATTAAGTCAAAAATGCTACAACTAATCTTACCTCAATTCTTCGGCTACTGTATCTCATGTCAGAGGTAGGAAACTCTAAAACAAAAAAATAATAATAATAATTGGATAGTCTTAGTAGTAAATAAGTTTGTGGATAGAGTAATGGACATGCTAAGATTTGTGGAAAAGTGGTTGAAAGTAAGTTTTCTCCTCCACAGTAAACACAAAGTTGTGGAATGATAACAGAAAACCTCAGGCCAAGCCATCAGGAGGGGTTGCTATTATGGGTTTGTTTGTTGTTCATTTGTTTGTTTTTGAGACATGGTCTTCTATAGCCCAGGCTGGCCTTGAACTGGCTCGGTATACCTGAGGATGACCTTGAATTTTTAGTCCTCCTGCTTCCACCTCCTGAGTGCTGGGATTACAAGTGTGTACCACTATTTCCAGTTCAGTACTGGGGATCAAATCAGGGCTTCATGCCCTCTACCAACTGAGCCTCATCCCCAGCTCCTACGTTAGCCTTTGTGTTCCATGAAGTACTCGTCCCTGAAACGCTCAGGGTGCGTTCCCTCTTCTTCAGTCATTTCCTCAAGTTGTCTTCTTCATTATAATATGATTATTACCATTGTGTGTGTGATATGTATGTGTGAGTGCAGACATGTATGTGTCACAGTGTACTTGTAAAGATCAGAGAACAACTTTCAGGAGTCAGTTCTCTCTCTCCACTTTGTTTCTGAGGCAGGGTCTCTAATTTTTCTTGAGCTCTGTGTACTCTAGGCTAGAAACTGGCCTGCAAGTTTCCATGGAATTCTCCAATCTCCATCTCCTATTTCCTGTAGGAGTGCTGGGATTACAGATGCACAGGTGCACATCACTACATCCAGCATTTTTTACATGGGCTCTAGGGATCAAACTCAGGTCATCAGGTATGCATGGCAAGTACTTTTACCCTCTGAGCCATTGCATTGGCCCTCAAGTTACTTTCTTAACGTCTACCTACTTAAATCTCAAAGTGCCTGCTACCCTCTGAACGTCTGTGTCCCCCACAAATTCATATATTGAAATATTAACTCTCGATGTGATGGAATTTAGGGAAGTGACTATGTCATGAAGAAGGACCCTATGAAACAGGATTAGTGCCCTATGAAACAGGCCCAAGAAAGCCTTGTTCATGCTTCTTTATTACATGACTCAGCAAGAAGATGCCATACATGAACTGGGAAAGAAATGAGCCCCTACCAAACACCATACTTGCTGACACCTTGCCGACTGAGGTGTTTTGTTCTAACAGCCCTCGTGCTCCTATCCTGTCTCTTTCTCTTCATAGCATTTATTCCTATTTGATGTACTCTATTTTTTACCTATACCAGTTTATTTTCTGTCTCATGCTCCCCAACAGGAATGTGAATTCTGAAAGGGCAGGGTGACTTTGTCCAGCTCGCTACTGAATTTCAAGCAATTAAAATAGATCTTGACCTGATAAGAAAGTATACATTCACCTAAAGAATAAAGGAAGCACTGTGGAATATTGTGTGTGTGTGTGTGTGTGTGTGTGTGTGTGTGTGTGTTTGTGTATGCACATGTGTGTGGAGGCCAGAGGACAACTTCAGCTGTTATTCTTCAGTCACCTTGTTTTTTGAGACAGTCTCTCACTTACCTGAAACTTACCAAGTTCACAAGGCTGTCTGGACAGCAAGTCACAGAAATCCTGCAGTCTCAGCCTCCCCAGTACTGGAATTACAAGTGCATGCCACAATATTTGGCTTTTTTTTCCTGGGGCATTGAACTCAGGTCCTTATGCTTACAAGGCAAGCATTTTTCTGACTGAGCTCTGTCCCCAGCCCTACTGTAGAACTAACGGCTCACCTTAGTGTGTTTTCTCTTATTTGTGCTTTCTAGATTTTTAAATAAATACATAAAGTCATGTATGTGTATTTGGCATGAACATAAAAGTAAAATTGTTTCGAGAGACAAATAGGAAGGAGGAGGGGTCAGAAAATGGAGAGAAGGGGAGCATAAAGGGGAATATGTTTGATATACAATATATACCTATGTGTATACTTAAAAACTAAACATAGGGGCTGGAGAAATGGCTCAATGGTCAAGAGCACTGGCTGCTCTTTCAGAGGACCTGGGTTCAGTTCCCAGCACCCATATGGGGGCTAACAACCATCTATAACTCCAGTTCCAGGGGATCTGACACCCTCTTCTGCCTTCATGGGCATTGTACACATGGGTATACTTACATACATGCAGGCAAAACACTAATAAAATTTTTAAAAATCAATTAAAAATAAGTAAACATCGCTAGAGAGATGGCTCAGCAGTTAAGAACACTGGTTGTTCTTGCAGAAGACCTGAGTTTGAATCCTAGCACCCACATGGCAACTGACAACTGTCCGTATCTCCAGTCTCAGGGGATCCAACTGCCTCTTCTGACCTCCTTGGGCATTGCACAACATGGGTGCACTTACCTAATGCAGGCAATACACGCATACACATAAAAAAAATAAGTAAACATAATCAAATGCTTAACTTACCTTCATATTTTCTTTGCTGCCCCTTCAGAACACAAGGAACCTCTTCCTTGGTTACAGACCTGGAAACACTTGATTCTAAGCAACGTCTGGGTAATGAACGGTCCAAATTCCCATCACAAAGTTCCTTGGAACTTTTTTCGCTTTTCAAAAGTGAAGTCTGCACGCTTAGGGTCTTTGTACCAAGGTTCACTGTCTCCATTTCATTTAGGAGAGAGACAGAATATGCTTGTCTCTCCTCTTGATGCACAAAAGTTACCTGACTGAAAGGGGAGAGATAGATTAAAACCCATTTACTGGTATAGTTGGATCTGAGATGGTCCCTCTGTCTTCAGTGTGGTGCTGATGAGGGGGTAGCACCTAGTAGAAAGATGTTAGTTCATCAGGGGGACCTTGTAAGGGGATATTGAGACTCCCCCACCACTTCCTCTGTCTCTCTGCTTCTTGGCCATCATTAAGTAAGCAGCCTTCTTCCTCAAAGGCACCCTGATGCACCCTCATATAGTGAGGGATGAAATCTCTGGGTAGGGACCTGCCATTGTCTCCTCCTTTAAGAGTTAATCCAGTTGGTGGGTCCATGATCTGGCCAACACCCCTCAGGAAGGTGAGGTCACTTTGAGTTATGTTAAAGAGATAGGTGAAGTAATGATCCCTTTAATGAGAGAATGTACTTTTCCTTCCCTAAATACCCCCTAGCTCAGCATCTCGAAGGACCATAGACAGGCACTTTGTAAGTCTGCCTGCTTTCCTGAATTACTCAGAAAAGCCTAACTTTTCCTTTTCTTCTTTCTGTCTCTGTTCTAAGCATGCTGTCCCTACCACACTGGGCTTTACTCTTTTTCTAAAGCTCCCCTTCCCACCAGGTACATGGCTGACCTCCATGCCAGCCTAACTCAAACAGCATGGCGTTTTCCCCTTCTCCATTCTCCTCCTCCAGGCTGCTACCAACATTTACAGTTTGTCAGAATGGGCTTTTCCTTTTAAACTCTAATAAAACTGTCCTTGAGCTTCAGTTTGAGTCCATTTTAATTCTCTTATTAATGAGACTAAGAACTCCAAGGAGGGCCCCCAATTTCCATGATATTATCAGGCAATCATGTAGAGGCACCCCAATATTTCCAGTAATAGTACTGCCTTACCATACCCTGAAAAACTACAAAACCAAAGTTACTATGGGATGAAACTTCTAAAACTGCAAGCCAAAATAAACCTCTCCTCCTTGTAAGTTGATTGTATCAAGTATATTGTCACAGGGATGGAAAGCTAACCAATACATTTCCCCTATCTTCCTTATCTTTTTATTCTCTCCAGGGAAGGAATTTCCACAACAGCTCTATAGCCTTGGCTGACCTGGAACCCAATGTGTAAACCAGGCTGTCCTTAAACTTTCAGCTACTATTCTTTGATGGTGGCACGAATGTTTTGAGGTAACCAGCCACTTTCTAATTGGCTTTAAATCAATCAATCCTCTCCACAAGAGAAAACACATGCCTGGTACTGCAAATCTGGCTGAGAACCCATGAATCACAGGCCTCTGGGGTGAACTTAACTATTATTAGTTTGCTAAATGGATGCAGTATCAAACTGCCCTCTAAATTTATATCTTTCTACCAAGAATTAGTGTGGCTCTCAGACCTTGTTAGAGAAGTTTCTTTGTGCAGGGTATGGTGGTTAATGCAGAAACTCACAATTGGTCAAAATGCAGAGGACAAGTGACTCAGCCACAAATGAGTCATCTATATCACACCCCTTTCCTATGACTCAGGGACCATCTAAGTGGAGGGGTTGAAAGAGTGTAAGAGTCAGAGGTGAGGGAGGACCAGGGATAAAGAGTGTCTTCTGGGCATGACAGAATCACTGCACTCATGAACTCACAGCAGCTGTGGTTGCCTGCACAAGATCTGAGATCAAACCAGTCAGCATCCTACAATGGAAATAAAAAAGGTTTCATGAGGCATCTCCATCCCTAATGGAGGAGATATGGCGGGAGATATGGGGGAAGGAAAGTCAATTTTCTTTAAGACTGTTACTCCTGGTAGGTGGACCACACCCTGGTGGATGGCTCCATACCCAAAAGTATATGGACAGCACAAATTGGACTCAATTGGTTATTAAATTATGAAAAAGAAGATACAGGGGGCTGGAGAAATGGCTCAGTGGTTAAGAGCACTGACTGCTCTTGCAGAGGACCCAGGTTCAATTCCCAGCATCCACATGGCGGCTACAAACTGTCCTTAACTCCAGTTCCAGGGGAATCCGACACTCTCTTCTGATCTCCGCGGCATTGTACGACACGGGTGTGCTCATATACATGCAGGCAATACACTCATACACATAAAATAAAAATAATAAATAAAATATTTTTAAAAAAGAAGATACAAAGTTGGGGGATAGGAAAGGGAGGTGACTCGAAAGAATTAAGGGGACGATTTTGGGTGAATATTATCAAATACATTGTATGAAATTCTCAACTAATTAATGAAAATATTTATTTTAAAAACCTTGTGGTCATCCTTCTGCCTCTCACATCTGAGTGCTAGTGCTGGAAGGACCAGTTTTAAAATTTTCCAATTCATTGTGAAATGATACTTTTGTCAAATATAATAAAAACTCGAAGCTGGGCATGGTGGCATACACCTTTAATCCCAGTACTTGGGGGGCAGAGGCAGGCGAATCTCTGTGAGTTGGAGGCCAGTTTGGTCTACATAGCGAGTTCCAGGCCAGCTGGGGCTACAAGGGAAGCCCTGTCTCAAAAAGACCAAAACAAAAAAAAATATGCAATAGAATCAAATCACGCAGAAAACAGGTGCCATTTTGCCATCATCTGTTCAGTGCGCATAGATTATTTTATCATATTGTTTTACAGCTTTTCTTTTTTATTTATTGTTTTTATTTTATTTGTATGGTGTATTGCCTGCATGTGTGTAAGTGCACCCATGTCATGCAATGCCCAAGGTATCCAGAAGAGGGCATCAGCTCCTTGGAACTGGAGTTACAGACAGTTGTTAGCTGCCATGTGGGTGCTGGGAATCGAACCCGGGTCCTCTGCAAGAGCAGTCAATGCTCTTAACTGATGAGCATCTCTCCAGCCCCTGCTTTACAACTTTTCAATGGTCATCTTCAAATTCTGTACTAACCTTATCATACATTGGTTACAGGGCTACAGAACCTTATTTTAGATGGTTTTTTTTTTTTTCTGGAATATTGTAGATATGCCATGACCCTGGGGACAAATCTGACCTTTAGCCTGTTTCTGTAGCACACGTTTGTGTGTACATACATGATGTGTGTGTGTGTGTGTGTGTGTGTGTGCAGGTACACTTCCTGTGTGCACAAGTGTGGAGTCCAGAGGAGGGCACTGAGTGCCCTACTCTAGCTTTCACTATCTCATTCCCTTGAGACAGGGTGTCTCACTGAATCTAGAGCTAGGCTGGCAGCCAGCATGTGCCATGGATCCTCCTGTCTCTACTCCCTACAGCACTAGGGTTATAGGAACACATGCAGCTCTGCCCAGGTCTTTTCATGGGTGCTGGGGATCTGAACTCAGGTCCTCATGCTTGCACAGCAAGTGCTTTTACCCCCTGAACCATATCTCCAGCCCATTTCTGAAGCTTTAATGGGATCGCAGACACACTCATTAATTTAACATATTGTCTCCAGCTGCTTCCAAGTAACAACTGCAGAGCTCGTCATTACAGTAGACTCCATTCATATGGCCCACACACCTATAATACTTATTACCTGGCTCTTTCCACTTAATATTTATTGTGACCCTTGTTTGTTTGTTTTTTAAAGATTTATTTCATTGTTATTTGTGTATGTTCATGTGTTCATGTGGATGCCCAAAGAGGCCAGAAGACACAAAAGATTCCTTGGAGTTGGAGTTATGGGCATTTGTGAGCCACTCAGTGTGGATGCTGGGCTCTGAACTCAGGTCCTCATGATAGAGCAGCAAGCACTGTTAACCCCTGATCCATATTTCCAGCAATCCTTGCTTTTGAATGCTGATTTGAATTGAACTACTAAAAAGTTTAGTTGCCATACAAGTATCATCATTTTCTGCTTAAATTACAATCCAGTACCTGGAAGGAAGGATATCCCTTACTTGCTTTCTTGTAAATCTTCTTGACTGATTTCTTGAGGAGGCTCTCCTGGAAATGTCACAATAATCTCAACACCTATGGAAATTGGTGACAGGATAGAAGAAATAAGAAAGCAATGAACTCCAGTGAACACAAAGTGCTTCATTTTATTTAAAATCTATTTTAATAGCTAGGGGCTAGGGTTTAGCTATTTTCCTCCAGCACATGACAGGTTGTATCAGGTATGTTCAGCTCACAACCCACGACCACATGTGGCTAAGATTGGATAGCTATGAATGTGGCCCAGCACAAGATTATAAGCTTATTTAAAATGTGAGACTTTTTGGTGGCAGATTTGGAACTTATCACTAATAAATGATAGCTCTATTTACTGTCTTTATTGCTCAACGCTGTATTCTGTAGTACTGTAAAATGTATCTAACCTTGGTTTTTTTCATGTTTCTCAAATGAAACAGCTTGATTCAGAAACACCTATCTGAAACTGTAGTTTCCTTGTAATAGTTGATCATTTTTTAACTTTTCAAAGATGCGGTCACTGTGTTATGCTGCACAAAATGGGAAGCTTGGGATTACAGAGCTGGAAGGCATGTAGAGGTCACGTGATTCAAGCCCTTCACTTTAGAGAGGAAGAAACTGAGCTGGGTCTGTGAGACATGCTCAAGGTCACCGCCAAGTTCAAAGGAAGATGGATGTCTTTCATGATGTGTTTGGAGTCATCCTCCAGTATGGAACCTAGCTAGCGTGTTCAAGGGACAGGAAGGGGAAGGGGAAGGGGAAAAGGGAAGTGAAGGGAAAAGGAAAAGGAAGAGAAAAGAAGCCAAGAAATTGCCAGGAGAAATTGAAGCAATTCAAACAAATATCTAATTTAAGAAGGTTGTAGGATAGGGCTGGAGAGATGGCTCAGCAGTTAAGAGAAGTTCTGTTCTGGCAGAGGACCCAGGTTCAGTTCCCAGGACCCACACTGAGTGGCTCACAACCACCTGTAACTCTAGCTCCAGGGAATCCAATGCCTTCTACTGGCCTCCACAGGCACCTACACACACATGGCATACACTCACTCAGACACAGACACATACACATAAATAAAAATAAATCTAAAAAAGGGTTATAGGAAGGCCAGGTGTGGTGGCACATATCTTTAATCTTAGCACTTGGGAGGCAGAGGCAGGCTGATCTACATAGCAAGTTCCAGGCCAGCCAAGGCTATACAGTGAGGCCTTGTCGCAAACAAACAAACAAACAAACAAACAAACAAAAGGTTATAGGAAAATAGATGATATACGAATATGATCATTTTAGTGACTGTTTTCTGAAGCAAGAAACTTGAAACACCTTGTGATCTACTAGGACACTTAAGGATATCACAGGCTAGATATTTGAAGTATATATTCTAGAACATTCCGGGATTATGGCCTCAGAGAATAAAAGACTTGAGGGCTTTCTTTCCACTTCACTCATTCACCCTTAAATGGAACCATAGCTCAGGGGCTACCTGAGACCGAAAGGGAAAATTTAGATCTAGAAACAAACAGACTCCTTAAGCTGATGAAAGATTCTGAGGGGGAAGGGTGATATTAGATACAAAGGAAAGAGGCAGAGGCTAGCTGGCCAAGCTGGACCGGAGTGAACTATAGGAGAGTCAGAGTGGGTGGCCCGTCTGGACAGGGGCAAGTCGCCAAGACTCACTGATTCAGGCATAAAAGAAATGACAGAATGATAAGTGGTTTTTATTTTCTCTCTGTGTAAGCACACACACAAGGTCAGAGGTCAATTTCAGGTGCCATTCTTCAGACACTGTGCATCTTATTCTTGTTTTTTGTTTATAAAGGACTTTTTTTTAAAGTTTTAAAATACTTTTTTATTGAATTTTTGCAATTTTCATACAATGTAATTTGATCCTAATTTTCCCCCCCATCTGCTCCTCTCCTTATTGCCCCCCACTCATTTTAATATATATATTAAGGCCTATATACTGGGTGTGGTGGTGCACGCCTTTAATCCCAGCACCTGGGAGGCAGAGGCAGGCGGATCTCTGTGAATTCAAGGCCAGCCTGGTCTACTGTTGGGGAACCCTGCTGTTAAGGTTGGCTCCTTTCTCAGCAGGGTCTTCCTGCCTGACTTACCTGGAAAGTGCCGCCAAGCACGGATGCCTGACCTTATTTGGAGCATGACCTTTGGCATAGTTACCTGGAGTAAAAACTACCCCCAGGTTTTTTCTGTATGATAATTAGGCATTGCCTGATAGTCGGATGATAGGCTCCTACTGCCACATGTAAATAAAGCATACTATGAGCACCTATCAGCTGAAGCATTGGCTATTGCCTCCACACTATATTTTCCCTAACCCCCACTGAATAAACGGAGCTGTTTCACTGAGTCTGGAGCTGTTTGTATCACTGAACCTGCCTCCCTGGAAGGGCTTTCTTCCGTCATTGCTCACTGGCTGTCCCTGACCATCACTTCTGCTCCCTTTGTCCTCACGGACTGGTGGCCAATGACCCACAAGGAAAGGGAGAGACCCCACAGTCTACATAGTGACTTCTAGGACAGCTGGGGCTACAGGGAGACCCCATCTCAAAAAGACCAAAAAAATAAAATAAAATAAGGCCTATAGAGTCTAATTTTGTCCCCAATGTCCTTCAATGTAGGTCCATCCGCTGGAGCCTAGTTAGCCTACCACGAGTCCCATACTTGAAAGAGACTGTCTCTGGCCTTCCCAGCAGCCATCTATTGACACAATTTTCTTAGGTGGGGTTGGAATTCTTAACCCCTTCCTCATGTTTATACTGGGATTTTTCTAAAGAGTTATTTTTTTAAATTATGTGTTTATGTGTGTATCTGTGTGTGTGTCTATGCACATGTGAGTGGGGATGCTTACAGAGTCCAGAAGTGGGCATTGAATCTCTTGGAGCTGGGGCTATAGGCGGTTGTGAGCTGCCCAGTGTGGTGCTGGGAATTGAACTCCAGTCCTCCTCAAGAGCAGTATACTCCAGCTCTCCACCTTGTTTTTGGAGACAGAGTCTCTCATTGGTCTGGAACTTGTCAAGTAGACTAAGCTGTCTGGCAACTGAGCCCCAAGGATCAGCCTGTCTCCCCCTTCCCAGCATTGGCATTACAAGCACATGTCACCATACCAGGATTTTTTAAAATGCAGGTTCTGGGGACTAAATTCAGAGCTTCATGTTTGCAGGGCAAGCCCTTTTCCAGCCCTACATTTTATTTTCCTTTGTTTGTCTGTGGGTGTTTTTGTTTTTGTTTTTGTTTTCCTTCTTCTTTTTTAGACAGGGTCTCCCTGTAGCCCCAGCTGTCCTGGAATTCACTATGTAGACCAGAACTCACAGAGAGCTGCCTGCCTCTGGCTCTCGAGTACTGGGATTGAAGGCGGGCACCACCATGCCTGGCTGCTTGTCTGTGTTTTCAAAGCTGCACTGCACACTTCTGAAAGAACCCCAAACAACCATTGCTATCTCAGTGATACCTTCTGTCCTGCGTAGCCAGTCTTCACCACTGGGATCTCTGTCACCAACCAATATAGACAGACTGCAATCATCCTCTTGGTTGGAGTCCTGTAAGATCATGGAATAAAAGTTCAGTGAGGTGATGGGGAGACAGCTCAGTCAGTAAAGTGCTTGACATACAAGCATGAGGACCTGAGTTCAGTATCCAGAACCCATATTAAAATTCCCGGCATAGTGGCACACATTTGTAATCCCAGCACTGGGAAGGCAGAGACAGTGGATACCTGGGACTCGATGGCTAGCCAGCCTGGCTGAATCAGAGAGCTCCAGGTAAAAGTCCTGCTAGCTGTGGTGGCACATACCTTTAGTTCCAGCACTTGGGAGGCAGAGGCAGGTGGATCTCTGTGAGTTCAAGTCCAGCCTGGTTTACACAGCAGTTTCCAGGCCAGCTGGGGCTACAGGGAGACTCTGTCTCAAAAAGGCCGAAAAAAAAAAAAAAGAGATAGGTTTCTGAGGAATGACAGCCATGGTTGACCTCCGGCCTCCACATGCATGCACCCATACATGTGCAAGTATAGACACATATGGACATACACGCATACAAAATATACATATGGACATATACACATACAAAATTAAAAAAAAAACATTAAAACAGTGAGTCAGTGTACTACTGCATTGGCGGGGTATATGCTGACTTTTCAAGGCCAAAATTTCACACTATGGATTCCCTTTTAAATTGGATCAAGTATTTAAGACTGAAATAACGGGAAAGGTTTTGCTCCTGAAGCACCAATTTCAGCTGGTTGAAGATGTGATTAATTGCATAATCAAAAACAAAGATCAAAGCTGAAGTCACAAAGAACAATATTTTCTACTTTATCATTTCAGCATCCAGAATGCTAAGCTGTCACAAATTCCATCTGCACGGGTAAGTGGAAAGAATCTTTCGGCCACTGTAACAGTGAGTAACCCCAGAGGAACTCGATCTTTTCCATAGCACCTCCCTGGGGCATCCTTTATATATGGCAAGGGTGGAAATCCTTGCCCCTTGTGGAAGCTACAGATAGAATCCTGGACCAAAGCAAGCAGCAAAGCTGATTACAGTTTTCACTAGGATGACTTTCTTGATCTCATCATAGGGCAAAACTTAAACTTGCTTTTGGCCCTCTAGAAAATAATCCTTATGCCAACTTGATTTATAAAAAGTACTCTGAACTCTCTGATGAAGAAATACCTTCTTGATATTCTAGAAGTCATTGTTACTTGTATTACATTTATTTATTTGTGTGCATGCATGAGTGTGTGTGTGTGTGTGTGTGTGTGTGTGTGTGTGTGTGTGTGTGTGTGTGTGTATGCTGTGCCCAATGCACATATGGAGACTGGAGGACAACTTAGGGGTGTCAGTTCTCTCCTTCCACCATGTGAGTCCCAGGGTTGAACTCAGATTTCCAGGCTTGGCAGCAGGCAAGTGCCTTTACCTACTGAACCATCTTATCAGCCCTAGAAGCCATTGTTGATGATGGGTTCTTTCACTGGAAGTTGGTACCACTGATTTTGTGCTTTTAAATTTCTGCAACCAGACTGGGGGTGCATCTCTATGCCCTCAGCACCACATAAAACTGGACATAGTAGCACACACTTATAATCCCAGCATTTAGGAAGTGGAGACAGGAGTATTGGGAATTCAAGGGCATCCTCAGCTACATAAGGAGTTTGAGACCAGCCTGGGATGAATGAGAACCTGTCTCAAAAAAAAAAGTTTTTAAAATTAAAGGGCACATCTATGTCCTAGTCCTATAACTAAGGAAATCACTCCAGTATGTGACCCTTTAAAATACTGTAGCTGCCAGATTCTAAAAACTGAGAGAAAGGAGCAGAGGGAAGGGGAGGAGAGAATATAAAGTATAGGAACTAGAATAGAACCAGATTTCTTAAAAAAATACTATTGGAGGGCCGACAATATGACTCAGTGTGCAAAGATGCTTGCTGTCAAGCCTGGCAACCTGAGTTCAATCCCTGGGATCCACATGGTAGAGGAGAGAACTGACTCATGAAAGTTGTCCTCTAACCTCCATATACATTGTGACATGCGTGTAAGTGCCCCCTCACATAAGTAAATAAATGTAATAAAAATTTAAATACCATTGAAAGTTAAAAATATGGAGAAATGAAAAGTCTCTACACTGAAAATAAAATAGTGCTGAAAAATGAAAAAAAGATTGTAAGTAAGTGAAGTCATAGAACGTAATTTAGTACAGATACAGCCTCCACAGTCTCCTGTGTTATCACACAGAAAGGGGGTGGGGAGAAAGAGAGAGAGAACTTATGTATAGATTTAATGTTTTCCTTCCACAAAAGATTCATGTGTTGAAATGCTAACTCTCAGAGCGATGGTAATAAGAAGTAGGACCTTTGGAAAGTGACAAGGTCATGACGGTGGAGCCCTCACAATGGGCTTAGTGTCCTTCTAAAAGACAGCAGAGAGCCAGTATGACTAAACCAAAGATTTCCAGCTTGCAACACAGAAAGGAACCCACAGAAGGACTGACCATATGTTGTATAGTGACTTCTGAAGGGAAACATTCCCTGCTTCAGGGAGAAGGGAACACAAGATTCAGGAAGCTCATGAAACTTATAAGACTCAGAAACCCATCCCTGAGGTCATACAAGCAGTAAAAAATTCCTAGGAGACTTCTGTGGAGCTGCCTGCAAGTCATGCCCAGAGCTCCAGAGATGCAGCTTTCTTGAATTCAAAAGACCTCTGGCTTTTTGGTGACTCAGCTGCCTTTGAAACATTCATGTTCCTGTGAGTAATCCTGCACATATGATTTATAAGTAATTTCAGTGACTTCATTGGTTCACTAAAGTGGCCTTGAGTGAAATCATTTCTTTTGTCTGTTGTTGGTGCCCTCTAGGGTGACTAGACATTTGTTCATCTCCCACCCCAGGAAAAAAAATCACAAAACAGCATCCTAATCTAATCTGTCCAGCTTCTAGAACTGAGGAAAAATTTTCTTTTGTTTATAAGCTACCCAGTCTGTGGTACTTTGTCATAGCAATCAAAACTAAGACACATATACACTCTCTAAAGTAAGTAACTATTTACATTTTTTTTTGTCTTTTTGAAGCAGGGTCTCCCTGTAGCCCCAGCTGTCCTGGAACTCACTATGTAGACCAGGCTGGCCTTGAACTCACAGAGATCCTCCTGCCTCTGCCTCCCAAATGCTGGGACTACAGGCATGTGCCACCACGCCCAGCTTCTATTTACATTTTTTAAAAAATATTTTATTTATTATTTTTATTTTATGTGTATGAATGCATTGCCTGCATGTATGTGAGTGCACCCGTGTTGTGTAATGCCGCAGAGGTCAGAAGAGGGCTTCAGATTCCCCTGGAACTGGAGTTAAGGATGGTTTGTAGCCACCATGTGGGTGCTGGGAATTGAACCCAGGTCCTCTGCAAGAGCAGTCAGAGCTCTTAACCGCTGAGCCATCTCTCCAGCCCTACATTTTTATTTTCAAAAATATTTCGTTTAGCCGGGCATGGTGGCACACGCCTGATTTTTATTTTATGTGTATGAGTGTATTGCCTGCACGTATGTAAGCACACCCCTGTCATACAATGCCTGTGGAGGTCAGAAGAGAGTGTCAGATTCCCCTGGAACTGGAGTTGTAAATGGCTGTTAGCTGCCATTTGGATGCTGGGAACCCAACCCACGTACCCACAAGAACAGCCAGTGCACTTAATGGCTGAACCATCTTTCCAGCCCCTAATTTACATTTTTTAAAGGATTACATTAATAGTTCAATCAGTCAGCTGGCCATGGTGGTACATACCTGGGAAGTCTAGAAAGCTGAGGTAGGAGGAGTAAGAGCCCAAGGCCAGCCTATGCTACATAGTAAGTTCTAGCAATATAGCAAGATTGTCTCAAAAAACATATATATAGGGGGCTGGAGAGATGACTGCTCTTGCAGAGGACCTGGCCTTAGTTCCCAGCACCCACATGGTGGCTAACAACCATCACTCCAGTTCCAGCGGGATCTGATGCCCTCTTCTGACCTTCACAGGCTTTATATGACACAATTGCACTTATATACATGTAGGCAATACACTCATACACATAAAAATATTTAAAACATGTTTTATATTCATATAACATATTTATAAATATGATTATTACAGAATATTGAATAAATACAAAGTGGTAGGAAGATCAGATCATTGATGTTTGTTGTTGCTTTTGTTTTGTTTCACTCTGTCTCTTTTTTGGTTGGTTTTTAGTTTATTTTTTATATTTTTCTTTGCTCTCCTTCTTTAAAAGGGTCTTCTTACCTCACTGCTGCTGATGCTTTGCAAGATGATGTTTTGATTTGGGGGAACATTCACATCTGTTGGGGAAGAATTTGTCTCCTGACAAATGTCAAGCAGTGATTCTGCATGTCTTTCTGTCAAAAAGAAACAAAGTGTGTTTTGATAAGATTCAACAATTTCACAGGAAGATCTATTTCTAGGTTTTAAAATTACCTTCATTTTGTCAGGTTTACCTGAAATAATCGTCTGGCATTCTGATGAAATTTCAGGCAATAATTTTCATAGGAAAAAATATGTGAGAGCCAGGCTAGGGAGATGGTTCAATAGACAAGACACTTGCCATGCATGAGTGAAGACCAGTGTTCAGACCCCAAACACCCATGTAAAAGCTGGGCGGGTGCAGTGGTGGCTGTCTATAATCCCAGCATTTAGGAGGTGAACTCAGGGGATCCCTGAGGCAAGGTAGCTAGCCAGACTAGCAGAATTAGCAAGTTCTGGGTTCAGTGAGAGACACTGCCCCAGTAATTAAAGTGGAGAGCAATTCAGGAAGATACCTCACGTTAACCTCTGGCTTACACTTACACACACACACACACACACACACACACACACACACACACACACACACAGATGAATTTAGAGCAGGATTACTTTGCATTTTTTGGAGCATGTAGATCTGGGCTTCAGAGAGTCACTGGTTTGATTTATTTAAATGAATCCATCAGGGGACTGGAGAGATGACTCAGTAGTTAAGAGCATTTCTTGCTCTTCCAGAGGATGGGAGTTGAATTCCCAGTAGTCCAGCTCCAGAGGATCCAATACCCTATTCTGGCCTCCACAGGCACCCGAATACATGTGCCATACACTCATACAGACATAGGCACATAAATAAACAATAAAATAAATCTTTAAGAATAAATAAATAGCTGGGCGTGGTGGCGCACGCCTTTCACCCCAGCACTGGGGAGGCAGAGGCAGGTAAATCTCTGTGAGTTCAAGGCCAGCCTGGTCTACATAGTGAGTTCCAGGACAGCTGGGTCTACAGGGAGATCCTGTCTCAAAAAGATGAAAAAAAAAAGTAAATAAATGGATCCAGCAAGCAGATATAAAACAGTAAGAAAGACTTCAATTAGGACTTTTAAATTGGGGAATACACGTATGGAAAGAAATATTTACCTGGTTTAGGCATGGAATTCATCAGGATGTCCAATAGCTGCTGTTTCCTCAAACTCTCAATTTGTGACACATAATATAATGCTGACTTGCCACTGAAATCACAAAGCTTAGGATCTCTGGGGAGAATAAAACAGGCATCAAAGATTATTAGGTTAAATCTGTTGAAAAAAGAAAACCAATATGAGAGGAAAAACCATTGACAGCAAATAAACAAAAATCTTAGGTAGTTAGGGAAATAATGATTTCAAAACAAATGAGATAGAGGATGATCATTTCCCAAGATTTTAAACAAGAGGGCTGGGGATGTAGCTGAATTGATGGAGTGCACACAAAGCCCTGTGCTCTATCCCCAGCACCACATAAACCAGGTTCAGTGGTACATTCCTGTAATCATAGGCTGGCCTCAAACTCAGCTATGTAGCCAGGAATGACCTTGAACTTCTGATCCTTCTGTCTACTTCCCATTTGCTGAGATAACAGATGTGAACCATCACACCTGGTACCATGTACCATCACACCCTAGCTACTGAGCTATGCCCCCTAAAACTGTAATTATCTAAACAAGAGCCAGATATATTAATAGTCAATTTGAACATCTGTCCATCTCCTACTGTTACAAAGTCACTTTTCTGATGATAAATGGGCAGATAATACACACACACACACACACACATGCACATGGAGATGCTGTGTTTAGTCCCCAGAATCTTCAATGTGTGTTCATGTGTGCATGCATGTGTGTACACACATATTTATACATATATACATGTTCATGCATGTATATATACATAAATATAAGAAAACATTCTCATGTATATGAAAACAATCCATGTTTACTTGTGATTTCTGTAAATTACAATGGATTAGCTGACCTTCTGTCGGTGCTGACTGCTCATACTCACGCGTGATGCTGGAGGAGCTCAGAAAGAACTTCGGCAGGTCTGTAGATTGTTAACATGTCCAGACTCTCAAACAGGTCCACATCTCTCACAGCCAGCATCAGAGGCGTCAGGCCATGTTGGTTTTGGAAATTTACATCCAGGGACTCTTCAGATGCCTTTGAAAACAAGAGGTTTGATTTCTGTTGTTTTTGCTATATGGCTGCTTAAACTGATCTTTGTGTTTTCATTGTTTGGATAATTTCTCAATTTAACTTTTTTTGAGGGAGGGCACTGCACTGAGCTACACCCCAACCTTTACTTTAATATACTTTTTTTGAGACAAAGATTCATGTAGCCTAGGCTAGCCTTAAACTCTCTATGTAGTTGAGGATGACCTTGAATTTCTGATACTCCTGCCTCCAACTCTGGGATCACAGGCATGTAGCACCATGCCTGGTTTATGTGGTACTGGGGATAGAACCCAGGACTTCATGGATGCTAGGCAAGCACTTTATCAACTGAGACAGCTCCCTCAATATACTGTTTCTCAGTATGTATCCTGACAAAGAGTTGATATAGTGAAAGACACAAGCTTGAAAGAGACAAGCCTGGGTTTAAGCCTGTGTCCCAAAGCTAGCCACTTTAACTAATTTGTAGATTATATCAGGGACACCCTGTTTAAAGGTAATTTTAAAGACAAAAACCACTTTGACAGTGTTATAGAGATGCTCAGGCAGTAAAATGCATGAAGACCAAGCATGAGGACTTGAGTTCTATACCCAGAACCTATAAAATGTTGGGCAAGGCAGTTTGTGTGTGTAATCCCAGGACTGTGACATCAGAGACAGGCAGATCCCTGGAGTATGGCAGTCAGCCAGCCTAGCCTATGTGGCAAGCTCCAGGACAATGAGGGACTCTGTCTCAAAAAACCCCAAACAAATAAATAAGGTAGGGAGTGATTGATGAAGACACCTGATGTCTCCGCTGTCCTCCACCTGTACACACATGTACATACAAACACACACAGGAAAAAAAAATCACCTTGATAAAATAAGGGATGAGAGTTAAATGATGAGCAATTAGTGATTTTCATTTGGCACATACTTAACACTAAAATAAATTGTTGTTTATTTTAAATTCAAACAATGTGCTCACTTCTGCAGCTCATATGTCAAATATAGCTGGGTGTTCTATACCATTCTGTTATATTTTTAGTTGAATTTTTGTATATTTCATACAGATCATCTTTATACCCCTCCCCCATCCAAACCCTCCCCCAGTCTCCCCTGCCACCAGATTTCATGCATTTATGTTAAGGTCTATCGAGTCAAGTTAGTGTATTCAGATGTCCCTCAGTGCAAGTTTATCAACTGGGGTATAGTCAGCCTATCTAGAATCACTCCCTTAAAGAAGATCAGAAGGAGCTCAAGGGGTGGGGGTACCATAGGAGGCAGGTATTATCAAGGGTGAAATGGGGAAAATGGAGGTACTTCAAATGGGGAGGGAAGAGGGAGGATTAGACAGGGAGGGAGGAAGGAGAGAGAGAGAGAGAGAGAGAGAGAGAGAGAGAGAGAGAGAGAGAGAGAGATTGGAAAGAGGAAAACAATGCTTAACTGATGCTCTGTACTTTTGTTTGTAAAATCCGGCCAATCTATTTAAAATTTATATATATATATATGTGTGTGTGTGTGTGTGTGTGTGTGTGTGTGTGTGTGTGTGTGTGAATGATGTGTGTGTGAGTGCAGGGATACGTGTGCCATGGTGCTCATGTGGAAGTCAGAGGACAACTTTCAGTTGCATTTCTCTGTGAGTCTCAGGGATAGACAGAATTCAGGTTGTCAGGTTTGCACAGCAAGAGCTTTTAGCCATTGAGCCATCTTACTGCTCTGGCAACTGTATTTACTGACTTTCTGAGTTCTGCTATACAGTATACTAGTGTTTTCCTATAGAATTGCTTGAGTGATTGCTGATACAGTGTGAAAACCACTTAGTAGAATGTCTTACAAAGAGTAAGAGTTCCCTGAACATCACTGAATGATTTGCAATCAGAAGATGTGCAATTTAATTACATTCATATAGACAAAATGGAAGTGACATGTGGATGCTATTAGATGTTTTAATAAAAGTAAAACTTGGGCTGGGGAAATGGTTCAGTTTCAAGCAAGAGGACCTGACTTTGAATCTCCAGAACCTTTAGAAAAAGCCAGGCATGGTGGTACATGCCTATAATCCCAGTACTGGACAGTGGAGTCAGCAGGATCACTGGGGCTCAGTGGCCAGCTAGCCTAGTCAAATTGGTGAGCTCCAGGTTCAGTGAGAGACCCTGCCTCAAAAAATAAGGTGGATGGGGCCGAAGAGATGGCTCAGCTGTTAAGAGCATTGGTTGCTCTTACAGAGGACCTAGGTTCAGTTCCCAGCACCCACATGGCAGCTAACAACCGTCAGTAACTCCAGTAACAGAGGAATCTGACACCCTCTTCTGACCTCTGCACGCATTGCATGACATGGGTACACTTACACACATGCAACAATACACTCATACACATAAAATAAAAATAATAAATAAAATACTAAAAAATAAGGTAGACAGAGATTGAGGAATACACCCAATATTGACATCTGGCTTTCATGTGTACACAGATGAACACTTGAACACACATACACACACACACACACACACACACACACACACACACGAACACGTACAACACACACACACAGAGAAAGTTTAATTCAGACATTTTAGAACTGAAAAGCTGCTGGAAGGCCAAAATATTCAAATTGCTCATTTTATAAAGCAGAGTAACTCCCTAATTTTCATCATCTCTGTCTCACTTTATACCATGGCAATATAGTCTCTACTTTAGCTCCTCCAGGGGCAAAATAGAGGTAATGATATTACCTCAGCAGGGTGCTGTGGGAATTAGTTAATTTTTTTTTTATTCTCAGAGAAGAAACCTCTTAGATCAATGTTTATTATTAGCTAGAGCCAATATGAGAGCTTTGAGCTGAGAGTCATTTTGCAACAGCACCGTTAATTTAGCATCTGATGATTAAGCTCTGGATGTGCTTCCAGGCAATAGTTGTTTTTTTTTTGTTTTTTGTTTTTTAGTTTTTTTTTTTTTTGTCTTTTTGAGACAGGGTCTCCCTGTAGCCCCAGCTGTGTAGACCAGGCTGGCCTTGAACTCAAAGATCTGCCTGCCTCTGCCTCCCAAGTGCTGGGATTAAAGGCGTGAGCCACCATGCCTAGCCCAGGTAATATTTTCTTAAAACTCAGTCACTAAATCTTCAGGAGTCAAACAAACTATATATGAGAAAGGGAGGGAGAGGAGAGAGAGAGAGAGAGAGAGAGAGAGAGAGAGAGAGAGAAAGAGAATGAAAACAGAGATTAAATTACAATTACATACATCCAAAGTACCATTAAACAAAATGTATTGCCTTTTGGAAAATTTTCTATCTCTGTTCCTAATGTATGGCAATTTTAGACTATGATCAAGTACAACAAAAGAATCGAAAGTTTCCTTTGGTTTTGTTACAAATATCCTTGAACTCTATGTGACCAGAATATCTTTCACTTCTTGTTTTGTTTACATCTTTACCATAAGGGATTAGAGGAAACTGTTTCCTAGCACCAATATTGATTTTATTTCAGTTGGAAGATCACTTGGATGTGACAGTAGCTTTGAAGGTCAATGCCACCAATAAGCAATTGCTAATAATTAAGGTCCTTGGTTATGCAAAGAATTTTGCAAGATTTTTTTTGGGGAAAAATAACTATTGGTAAAAATTATAAATAAAAGAATCAATAATGTTCAAAGGCAGCATTTAAAAATTTATTCTTTGGGTTGGACAGATGGCTCAGCATATACTGCTCTTGCAGAGATCCTAGCACTTAGGAGACAAAGGCAGATGGATCTCTGTGAGATCAAGGCCAGCCTGGACTACTTAGGGAGTTTCAGTCCAGCTGGGTCTACAGGTAGACCCTGTTTTAAAAAAATCAAAAACAAAAAACAAAATAATATGTACTGCTCTTGCAGAAAGCTGATTCATTAGTTCCCAGCACCATGTCCAGTAGCTCATAATCGTCTATAACTCCAGTTCAGGGACTCTGACTCCTTCTGGCTTCCTTGGGCGGGCACTGCACTCACGTACACAAATACACACACACACATGTGCATCATTAAAAGTGAAAATAAAATATTTTTCACAAATGTATTTACCAGGTGTGGTGGGCACATCTTTAATCTCAGCATTCAGAAAGCAGAGGAAAACAAATCTCTCTCAGTTCAAGGCCAGCCTGGTCTATATAGTGAGTTCCAGGTCATCCAGTGCTACATAGAGAGATCCTGTCTCAATAATATCCACAGAAAATAAAAAATAAAAATGTATTCTTGGGCTAGGGAGACAGCTGAGTTGGTAAAGGGCTTGTCATGCAAGCTTGAAGACCTGAGTTCAATCTCCAGAACTCACTCAAGGCATGGTGGCATACACTTATAATCCTAGTGCTGAGGAGGTGGAGATAGAGTTCTGGAGTTTGCTGGCAAGCCAGCCTAAGCTACTTGGCAAGCTCTGGGCAAATAAGAGACTTTGTCTCAAAAAACAAAGTGGATGGCACTTAAGGAATGATTCTTGAGGCTGATTTTTGGCCTTCACATGCATATGCAGACATGTATACTCCCACCCACCAACTCCCACATACAAAATATTCTTTTTTCTTTTCTTTTCTTTTTTTTTTTTTTTTTTTTTTTTTTTTGAGACAGGGTCTCCCTGTAGCCCCAACCAGCGTGGAACTCACTATGTAGACCAGGCTGGCCTTGAACTCACAGAGATCCGCCTGCCTCTGCCTCTGAAGTGCTGGGATTAAAAGGCCTGGGTCACCACACCCGGCACAAAATATTCTTCTTAAAGTTCTTTGGTGACAGCTAAATGTTATGCAATGTGTAAGCTCTCTGATTCCCTTTTCAGGATAAAGATAATAACTGCCACTGGTCTAAAGGGATCTAAACAGCAACTGTGCAAATGGCAGTGATGTCCAGGGACCTGCTCTGAGCAAGCTGACAGCAGTCCTCTGGGTGCTTCCTGGGGCCCATCATTTCCCAGGGGTGCTGCTTGACTTCTAGC